ACAGCCCAGGCCCTCTTCCGCTGAGCGGACCCCACTGCCTCGAGGAGCAGACCTGCACTCACCCGCAGTCGTGTTCCTGCTCAACCCGAAGGTCACCTTCTTGGAGCTGGACGGTGTCCTGCTCGCCTGCAGAAGAGGAACAACAGAAGGACTAAAGTGACAGCCGAGGTGTCCCCAAGGACGCCTGGTGCCGCCAGCCTGTGTAGCAGCTCCGCCAGGCCTGGCAGGAAGCTGCCTCGCCCGGGGCGAAAGCAGAGCAAACTGCTGGGGCCTGGAACAGGACAAAGCCCACCGCCGGAGCACGGGGGCTCCCACCTGGGAGCGCAGCGGACCAGAACCTGGTACCGGAGCCCGACTCCCTCCTGCGGGCAGTAGACAGGCACTTCCAACTTTTTGTGCACAAGGACTCCAAACTGACTTGCATATTCCAACAACTCATCAAAAATCAAGTAACTGTTCCCCAGTTGGCAGATTCCTGGAAGTGGACCCACTCTGCACGATGAAGCACTTTATCAAATTCCTTCTTCGAATCTCAAGTTTCTGCGGGAATCCCAGAGTTCTACCTGGTATTGCTTTTTGCTTTAACGTCAATAGTTCATGAGAGGAATCTGACCTGTGCAAGCCCTGAGTCATTTAACAAATCTCCCTAAATATCTTCAGGTCAGTGCCACTTACACGTCCACTTGCTGTGGGTGTCCCTGCAGGGCCAGCCCAGGCATGCCCGCCACCAAAGCAGGCATCTGCCCCATGCGGCTCCACCAGGACCTCGGTCTCCCAGAGGCAAACGGGATGTACATCCCGCGGCCCGGCCTCCACCTGCACCACCTCCCACCACCTCCCTTCCTGGACCCTGCATGATCCCCCGGGCACGGTGACAGCCCTCTCCCACCACTGCACCTGGCTCTCTGACTGCTCGCCTCGTGAATTCGAGGACGCGGCACCCCTGTCCTCCTGACGCAGAATGGTGTACGGACCGTACCTCAGAGCTGACCCCGCTCCTGGAACAGGGACCCGCATGCCGTGGACAGTAGCAGAGCTGAAAAGCTGGCTGCAGGTGGGGTGGGTCAGGAGGGCAGCAGAGCCCACCATCTGGGCGTGGGGCAGCTGTAGGGGGACGGCAAGCAGAGGGACACCTGGTGGCTGGGTGGGTACCTGCAGGGGGGCGCCCGGCGAGGTGGTGGCAGTGCTGCCCTTGGCCTTCCTGAAGAACAGGGGCTTTGGGCAGAAGGAGGCGTCGAACTTCACGAAGTCCTTCTCTGTTCTCAGCTTCTTCTTCAAAGGGCTGAGCGCCCCGCTGCTCCCCTGGGAGGAGGGGCGAGGGCGGGGTCACTTGTACACAGAAGCTGACAGCACAGGGGCGGGAGACAGGACTTGGAGCATCTCAGACCCCTCCCCCTTCTCTTGTACCAGGTGGGTGCACACCGTGTGCAGACCTTGTGCACAAACCCCATCCTGCACACTGGCACCCTGCCGAGGGCTGGAAGTCTCCCAGCTGCTCAGCCACAAGAACCCATTTTCACTCATCTGCGGATTTACACCCATGTTCTGAAAATTTCCGCCTTTCAAAGGCCTCCTATTCAGTAATGACTCACTTTCTCATTTCTGATCAAAGACAACACTGTCCACGGAAAGCCTGGCAGAAGAGCCAGCATGATGCTGTCAGTTCTGCAGGCCCGTGATGGGCGGACGAAGGACGCTCGCTGGGGCTTTTACAGCAGACCACCACCCACAGCAGACCTCGTGTCAGTCCTGGGGCCTCAGGGTCCTGGGAGCCCCGTGAAGTGGTGGCCCCTGCAGGCCCCATGGTGCCACAGACACGGAAAGCTCTGCCGCCCCTTCGCAAGGAAAACCTCCCTCAACCCTGTGACCCACTTAGCAGCCTCTCCAATCCTCCCCAGGAGGCTTGAGAAACGAGACATGGAAGAGGAAACGTCTCCATGCTCTTGCTGAAGAAAAGTGTCGAGTGAACAGTGATCGAAGGGCAGAGGCTGCAGAGCCGAGGATGGTGACGCAGGGCACGCGGAGGGCAGGGAGGGCCGCAGACGAGGCTCCCTGAGCCCCCACGCACACTTGTGTCCCCAGACGGACCTTCTACTGACCATCAATGACTCGCCTCCCCACCCGGGGCTCCTGCACCGTGAGGCCTGGACCAGCGTTTCACCAGGTCCCCACGAGCTCTGTAAACAAAGGCCTCTGCACCACAACCACTGCCAAGCAGGGGACGCAGACGCGTGGGCAGGGTCAGGGCCGTGCCGTGGGGGGGCCAGGGAGCAGCCGCCCAGCTCTGCAGACCCCCTACTCAACTCTGCCAGGAGGGGCAGAATCAGCCATGGAGGGCCAGGGAAACTGTGTCTGCCCTCCACCCGCACAAACGCACTGCCTGTCCAGGGGGGGACACTCAGAAATGCAGATTCAGGGTCCAGTTCCTGGTTTACATCTGGCTCTAGAGATCCAAGCGGAAAAAAAACTTTTTTGTTAAAAAGGTAAGTGAGGTAAGAGAATCTGGGGCTGCTGCTTCTGCCAGGGGGGCCCAGGATGGCGATGAGTCGGAGAGGAAAGACAAGACCAGCGTTTGATGGAGACACACATCTGGCTGTGTGGCCATGGGGACACTTCTCCCAGCTTGATGCTGGCCCTTCCTTCCTTCCTTCTGCAGCGTGAGTAGCCCGGTGTGGGGGAGGGGAGGGGAGGTGGGGAGAGGAGAGGAGGAAAAGGGGAGGGGGAGGCAGAGGGGAGCAAGCTGCTGGGATGGGCCACTGTGTAACCGCTGGTGCAGGGTGTTACGAGCACTGACGGCTCCCCGGCCCAGGGGTCTGACTGTGCCCCGGCCCACCCCGTCCAGGGCCCTGCACCCCTGCCCCGGCCTGGCTGCCTCACCAGAGCCTGGATGAGCCTGGCTCCTCTGTGCTCCAAGTGCGACATCTCTTTCATCTTCTTCCTCTTTTTCAGGATGGTGGTTTTCTGTGTGGACGGGTTGCAGCATTCAAGTCTGCTAGGCACCCCCTTCTTTTTCTTCGGTTTCCCACCCTGGGGTGGGGCGGCAGGGCAGTCCTCTCCATCTGCTGGGCTGGCTGGAGGTGCCTCCCTCCGGGGCAGGGGCCAGGCTAGCGTGGTGGGGGCACTGCCGTTGACCAGGGGAGCCCCGAGCGTCCGCTTCCTCTTCAGGACTGGGGCGCCACCGGCCAGGGAGGCTCGGGGGTCTGGTCCCTGAACAGGACCGCCTGGAGGCAAGCCCTCCTCAGGAGATGCTGCCGACCTGGCGCTCTCCACCTGGACCCCCAGCCTCCTCTTCCTCGGTCGTTTCCTCCTGCTGGGTACGGAGGGCTGCTCTGAGCTGCTGCGCTCCTGGGCGCCAGGTGCGGCTACTGCCCCCAGCTCTGCCAGGCTCATCTTCTGGGCGCTTCCCGGCCGGGCCCCTGGCTCACCACTCCCATTCTGCTCTGGGCACAAGGCCTCACAACCGGCCCCTAAGTGTTCAGGCCGTAGGTGGTTCTTCTTCTTCTTTTTCCTCTTTCTCTTCGGAATCCCACCTTCACTCTCCTCTTCCTCAGCAGGAAAGAACCTGGCTCCTAGGAAAACATGTAAACCCATCAACACGCGCCCCGGCGCCAAGGCAGCTGGCCTGGCCTGGCCGGGGACTCTGGGGCAGTGTGAGGGCAGACACAGCCTCTGTCTCCTGCCGGGGGGCTCTGACCCTCCTCCGTGCACTGGAACCCTACAGGCTCCCTCATCTGGTCCCCCCACTGTGACTGGAAACCTTCCTAAAGCCTATTTTGATATAAAAGGACCTGAAATAGTCTTCAGACTCCTAGTAATTTCCAGGCTCAGATCCAGGGCAGTAATAAAATGAATGTCCTGCTGGGCAATGTTATTCCAGCACCCTGCACGTCCTCACCCACTGTCCCCAAAGATGCCACCAGGAGTGGAAAAATGTTTTTAGGTTAGGAAGGCTGGAATGTAGGTCTACAGAAAGTAGCCAACCCCTGGCAAGCCTCATCATGTCTCAGCGGCTCAGAGTGGAGGCTTCTGCTCCTTGACGATCCAGGAAGATGAGAAGGGACGCCCGCCCCCTGCCTGGCTCCCTGCACGGACACGGAGGCTCACCTCCCTCTCCTTCCACGTCCTCTTTCTCCACAGGTTTCTTTCCTTTTTTCTTACGCCTTCCTTGACTGAGGGCCTGGTCATCTTCGTCAGCAGATGTGTCCTCAGCAAAACTGAGTTGAGAGATACTGCCTGCTGGACACCAAAGCATGTGGTCAGCTCTCAGGCCCTTCACAGCTGTGTCTGGGACCACAAGCCCGCCCCCTGCATGCAGGCAGGTTTTAGCGCTGACTTCCGCCACATTGCTGGGCCTCATGGCTTCTCCAACCCAACCCTGAAGGCTGCTGACACGGGAACTATGGACCTAAAGGCCAGTGGCGTCCTCGTCCAAGGCGGGGACAGACATGCAGACCTCGGGTGGCACCTCTACAGCTCACCCCGGGGGCTCGGCCACGCTACTCCCACCGTCCAGTGAGGTCTGGGTGCTCTCCCCCATTTCAAGCACCCCAGGAGCACAAGGGAGGGTGGGGGAGCAGTGGACTCACCTACTCGGTCACATGTAACAGAGCTTATGGGCAGCAGCTCCCCAAGGGGACAACTGATCCCAACGGCAAGTGAAAGGGACTCTGAGAGATCAACCCTCCTTCTTCGTGAAGGATCACAACGGATCCTTCCCAGGGTGGAAGGAATCCTCCTGTCAACTCCCTGTCCCCGGGGTTTATCCCCGTCCTGGCACTGGCGGGGAGAGGCCCCATCTGGCTCAGCCTTGGTCCTGGGGGCAGGGCGGGGGCGGGTGGCCTGGAGAAGGTGGGACCCCATGTTCTTGCGACGCTCCCGCTCAGCTGAGCAGCCGGTGGTGGGACTGACGGCCTTTCACTATTTCTAATGCTTTCAACGAACGTCTTCCAATCCTGTTCATCAATATTTGGCATAAATGCCCTCAGGGGGGTCCATGCTCACATAACATCACCAGTTACAGTCCTGATTTTCCTCACCTTCAGACAGATCTTGGAATCTGAAAAAGAGAACAAAGGTGTCCTAAAGAAACCACGTCTTTGTCTCCTACAAACACGGGCACTGAACTTTTAAAATGCAAGCTGATGTTGGGAGTTTGTTAGTTTACGTTCCTTTTCTTCTCGAAGAGCAGGCTGAAGAGGTGGTGTGATGCGAAGGCCACGAATGAAGGACAAACCCACCCTCAAGTGGCACAGCACCCCTGACGACATGGTGACGTAGGGCTGTCTCGGCGCACCCGAATACAACCGAAGAAGCCGAAATTTCTTTTTATTCCTTAGACTGAAAGAGCTCAGGCCTCCACTTATATTCAGGTCTCTGTTCGCCAAGCGGAGACAAGCCCAGAGTGTCCTGCGCCATACACTGTGGGGTGTCGGAACAAGGGGTGTGCAGGCGGTCTGCGTGGGGAGGCGCGGGGCCCGCAGGGCAGGACGGGGGAGCACATGGGCCTGAGTGCTGCTCCGTGTCCGGAAGCCGCAACCCCAGGCGGCCCGTTACATTCCCTGTGCCCCACGTGACCCATTTGTAAAACGGAGAAATTACAGACATGAAATAATTCATGTCAAGTGCTCAGGATGGTGCCTGCTCAGACTGTGGTCAAACTGAGCTGCTACGTGTCACCGGGCACAGCGAGCCCAGGGCTCTGCGGTGAACTGCCCGTCGGTCGGGATGGCGTGAAGGCCCACACTCGGGGTGGACACACTGGGGACGGGGGGTAGGACCGAAGGGCTGTCTATGTCAACCCCGCGCCAAGAGACAGCACCGAGCAGCACGGCCACGCCGCAGCGCCTCGGTCTGTGGACTTGAGACGTTGCCCACAGACGCCCTTCCCCCGCCTCACGGACAGCGGAGCCGCAACTTGAGCGGCACCTGCAGAGCGGAACCCGAGGGGCAGGGCCTCGAGAGGCCGTTCGCACGGACTCTTTCAGGTTGCGTGCGTGTATCCCGAGACTGCGAGCGAAAACATTGAAAGACCAAGAAGAAAGGTCCGCACGGCGACAGCTCATCTCACGCTGAGGGAAGCAGGAGGCTGGCCCTGAACGCGGACCACGACCGGGTGCAGCCTCCTCCCCGCACTTACTTCCTGATGAGTCTGCAGAGGCGCTTCCTGTTGAAGGGAGGGATGTGCTTCCTGGCGGTGATTTCCAGGAGTCGCTCAGCAACGGCCTTGTAGTCAAACTGTGCGAGGAGAGAAACCAAAGGTCGGCCCCAGTACAGCGCCGCTGCCGGACCTGGGACTTCACACCCCCTGGCGACAGACGCCCTGCAGCACGGGGTCCTGGACGCCCTCAGCAACAGGCTGGTCTAGCCCGCACGCGCCGAGGCTTGCCAGCCCAAGGCCTGAGCGATAGCTTTGGACAAGTCCTTCTATTTATTCTTGGGAGAAGCTAGTCTCTATTTGCTCTACTTATTCTTCCCTAAGAGAGAGCTGCGGAAACGCACCACATAAACTGTACCTGGGTGTGCTTTTCTGTCAGTTTGCACCTGGTAACACAGTAACCTTCTTTTTTTGAAAACCACCAGCGAGCCGGCTTCGCTGGAGGGACAGGGCAGATCTTAGCAGCTCACGCCAGTGAGGACTGATACCTTTCAAAGCTTCATTCTATTTAAATTTGTCTCCAATAAGCGCATTATAGGAAGTGACATCAGTGACCAAAGGGATTTAAAAAGAACCTTACACATTAGGCCTGGGCCTTACTTAGCTCTGCCCCCAGTTCCCAAGTAGCCAGGCGGCCCCACAGCAAACCCGCATCTATGAAAGGTAACAAGAGCCACCAACCTGGAGGGGCGCCCGCCGTCCTCCCCGCTTCCTCCGCCGGCCGCGGCACCCTCATCGCTGGCTCCCTCTTTTTTGGGGTGATATTTGCCCGGGGCTATCAAAACAGCCACAGACACAATTCTTCAAATACACAGCAATGGCTACTCTCAAACAAGCCACCGTCCAATTAAGTGTCTCAGGGAAAAAAAGAACATCCCTTTACAGAGAAAACCCTGCAAATACATTTAGAATTTCCCAAAGATGTTTTGGTTTTTCAGCCTCTAGACATTAAAAAAAAAAAACCTGAGAGAAATTGCACATGTTGCCTCTTGATTACCCCAGACCAAACCCCCGCCGTGGAGTGCAGCAGAGGTGGTCGGGGGAACTCCCGGGTTAGGGGCTCGGCCAGTGGTTTCAGCGGGTCTGGGCCGCGGTGAGCACTGTGCAGCAGTGCACTGACACCGTGTGGCCGCCTCGGGAAACACAACAAGCTGATTTTAACATGAAAATAATTCAAACATTAAAACACAGCCACTAATGAAATCTCTCAGCTTCTGCAAGGTGTACTGTTTCTGGAATCTATCAGCCCCTCAGCAGTGTGGCCTCGGGGCAGGGTGTGGAGGAGACAGAGGGCCCCCTGCGAGCATCTGGCAGAGGACACCAGGAGAGGGTCTCCGGAAGGCGCCCGTGGAAAGTGGGGATGCCTCCAGCTTAGACACAGACAACGCAGAATCTGCTCAGGGCCGGTTAGTTAATTCTGCCCCCATGTTGAATTTAAAATTAGAACATTTGTTCTTTTCTTTTTTAAAGGTTTGTTTTTTCCTGACTAAAAATATATGATCATTGTTGAAAACTTAGAAAAGCAGACAAAAGTACAAAGATAATAGAAACCACCACAGTTTTGCCACGCGGGGCTCACCATCACCATCTTGGTACACATCCTTCCAGACACATACACACCATGTCTGAACATACATGTTTAAAACAAATCAGGCACCTTCTACAGAGTTTTGTGTCCTGCTTTAAAAATTTTTTAAAAATTAAATTTCCTCTGGCTGTTACTTTGTGAAAACTAATGCAAGCCCCACACAATCCCCGTGGGTGTGAAAGGGTGCTGAGAACAACGTCTGTCCGCAGCGGGAGTCACACACCCACAGGGAAGAAAAAGAGCCCCAGGAACTCGGGGATCAGAAAGGAGCGCTCCGGAAGCACGTGCGCGCTCCCCACCGGAACTGTAAATCAGCTCTCCGGCACGGGCCCTCTTACAGACAAACGAGTCCACATTGCACCAGCAAAGCTGAAACAGAGAAACCACAAAAAACCCAGAGCAACGACAACGGAAGTAAAACCCTCAAAGAAAGTGCTGCGACACTGGGAGACACAGAAACGTGTGCGGGCTCCGGTGGGACCAGGCCTTGAGCAACCACTCCCCTGCTTCCTCTCTCGGGTGGGGCCCAGGCAGAGCCACCTCTGATGGATTCCAGGGCGTGGCCAGTGAGACCCCAACACATGCCTTAAAAAGGGTCGGTTTGACAAGAACTTCACCTAAAAAAGACCACGCGAGGAACTCCTCTCACCTGTTCTCTTTTTATTGATGGGCTTTCTCCACGTCGCCTCGTTTTCGGGTATCTCTTCCTCAGAGAGGCCACCGTCACTGCCTTTAGGTTTCTGGCCCTCCACTGCCTCTCCAGGCACAGCAGGAGACTGCTCTGCGATGACGCGGAGAACAGCCCGGGCTATGGTCTGCGCCAGCGCGCGGCTGGGGGCAGGAGCACAGCGAGCGCGCGATCAGACAGACGGCCTGGGCTCCGGCCCCCACAGGACTGGAGGGTGAGAAGCTGGGGGGGCGCCCTGCACGGCCAGTCTCAGCCCACCCGATGCTGCAGTGACCGTCAGCGTACTCCCCACCAACCGACTGCAGCCACGAGGAGCCAGCTGAGCACCTGTGACGCAGCGGAGGGAGGGATGGCAGACCGAGCTCTGGGCGTGGGGGTGGGGTGGTGGCTCCTGGAATGACTGGGGCCAACCCGCTAGGGCAGTCAAACTCTTGGCTCTTCAAATGCCTTGCTGATGGGAATTAGGAATTCAGTTGTTTTTTTGGGGTGTGGGGACAGCTCAGTGGTAGAGTGCGTGCTTAGCATGCATGAGGTCCTGGGTTCAACTTCCAGTACCTCCATTAAAAAAAAGAGCTGTTCTTAGCTTTGGGTAATACTAGGTACCGTGCATCATGTCCTGCCTGTAGTCTCACCCAAGCAAGTGCCAAACGAAGCAGTAAAAACAAACACTTGCATCACTTACTCCTTAGTCTTGGCGGCGATTCTGCAGAATGGATCGATAAGCTTGAGATTTTGATCTGCCAAGAGCTGCAATTTAGAAACAGGAAAAAATGGGGGGGGAAGAGAGCAGCCTCTCCTTTCTGACGTGCCCTTGAAAAGGGAACCACCTGCAGTTTTCGCAAAAGGCGATCAGACCAACACCACTGCACTGCACCCAAGATGCACACTGCCCGAGGTCCCCGGTGCCTGGGGCCAGGCCTGAGCCAAAGGTCCTCCAGCCACTCAGCGTAGGGGCCGGACGACACTGCGCAGCCCAGCCCACACCGCTCTGCTCCACGTCCCAACACATGGCCCTCCTCTGCGGGGCAGATCTATGTGGATGCTACAGAAACTAAGAGGAAGGAATTGAAAGAACGACATTGCACTTAAATTAAAATCATACACGCTCATTGCAGAGCACCTGTAAGACTCATTGTAACTACTATCCTTCAGTCAAAAAAAAAACTTATGAAAGAACAAAGTAAACATTGCTCCCAATCCCAAACTCAGATAACCGCCTGCAGGCTAAAAAATGCGTGTTTCCTTTCCAGCCTTCGTCTGTTCACACAGGAACACGTGCTTTAAAAAAAGTCACACCTTTCCCAGCTTTGCCTACTGCCTTTTTTCCTTCTGCTTTTTACAAACTCAGTATCACAGGCGTTTTCTCACATTATCGAATTCTCTACGCAGGGCGTCTGACCACTTCTTACCTCCTTCCCTCCCACTTTGGATAGTTCGTCCAGGTAAATGTCAATGAAGTGGAACTTCACTCCGTTAGGAGACTGACTCTCGGGACGCAGGATCTCCTTCATCAAGACATCCAGAAAAAGCTTGATTCGGCTAAAGGAAACAACACACATGGTGCCAGTCACTACAGCACCCCCCACAGAAAACAGCAACATTCAGACTCCTTAACAGGAATGGCGAGGCTGGAACAGTTCGACAAGGAGAAAGGCAATCCCTGAAACCAGTATAAAATGCCGACTGCTGGATTCTAAGTTCTTTACGTGGAAGGATGCTCTGCCCTCAATACCCAGAGTGGAAAGCACAGATCAGGCAATTCAAACTTGCTGATTAACTGAAAGACTTGGAAAACACACTATCACCTTAAAGGTTTTAGGGCCGCCGACACCTAACCCAAATAGTTCACCAACCTTTCTTCCCAGGCGTTTCGCTTCAGAACTTCAAAGGACTGCCTCAGAACCAGACGGATCAGCTAGAGACAGACAGCATTTGTTACGCAGGGGAAAGTGAGAAACACGGCTCAGCTCAGCAGAGTGGGGAGACCAGGGAAGCTCACAGAGCCTGAATCCCAAACATGAAAAAATTTCCACAATAATCACATTTAACTTCTAGATCAAAAAATGTTAACCAAGGAGGCCGAAACTCGTATACCTTTGAGCACATACTCAAATGCGATCTGATGATCACATAATGGGTGTCACAGCAAGCCTGGAACTTGCTTTGCTTCAAAAATAAGACTTTCCATTGTTTTTAAGACGCTCAACACTCTTTCCCGCCCCGAGCTCTGAGGCGCGCTGGGGGCAGGCCCCCGGGGCTCACCATGTAGAACTTGTCCAGGCGCAGCTGGTCAATGCCCTTCCACTCTCGGTTCATGGTTTGCCAAAAGGTCTGAATGAACAGGTGCTCTGCAGTGAACAAAGGGCTCTGAATGCTGGGGTTCAGGTTAACACGTCACCACATAGCAAGAAAGGCAGGAAGAGGAACAAACCAGGATTATTTATTTACTGTTCTCGAGAGTTCTTGGTCAATAATTAAGTATGCTCAGTAATTTCTGTTCCACTTAAATAAAAGCACATTATCACGACAGGGAGGCTGGTCATGTTCTATTGCTCGCCTAGAACGCTCCCCGGAGCCTTCTGCTTCATCTGTTGCAAAGTCATGTTTCTATTAAAATCAAGATTCCCTGAGCCACAGCTGCTCGCCCCGTCCACCCGTCTCTCCTAACAGTCAACCCAAGGCCACTAACCCCGATGAACACCTGGGCGATCCACGCTCAGTGTCAGCTGGGGGAGCGCTAACAAAACAGTCTGTTTTTCTCTTCTGAGCCATGAAGTTAGCACTTTTTCATCCAAAAAGTTTGTTTTTCTGCTCAATTTCTTTTTGCATAACTCTTCCTTGATATAGAAAAGCTATCGTATATTCCACGTGTAGAATTTTGTCCCTTACTAGTCAGCGGGGACCCTGCTAAAATCTGGAGAACCACTGAGGGTTAATAAGGCCACTGGGATGGTTTTGTTCTGAGAAGCGCTAAGCAAAATAAACGCTTTTTCTTCGTCTGTGAATAATCGAAGCCTGAAGGAGTTGGAAACAACCAACCTCTCCCTCTGCTTATTCTTTCCGGTAAACGGGGGTTGCTTTACAGTTTACTACCAGTGATGCCCTCAGACAGCTCTGGTCCTCAGAAGGGTAGCCTGGCACCCAGAGGTTGCTGCAAACACTGGCGTATTCGCACACAGCCTCCAAGAAGGTCATGTTAACTCAGAATCTGGGAACTCTGGAGAACTGCTAATTCTCAAAATGTTTCTTTGAAGATGTCACGTGTGACATTCCACCAGACACCCCCCCCATTCACCTCTTACAGAGGCAGCACCTACATGTAACAGTTTTCCCCAAAGGACGGGTCTGCCGCCCGACATCACACACCAGCAGCCCAGGCTCACGTGACGCTAGCCCACTGGGAACGGAAGCTCTGAAGGAAGGAGAAGCAGCAATACTGACTAAAGCTCTCAGGCAAGTTACCAAATCTGACGAGCAGGGAGGTTGTGAAAGCCAGGAGAACACCAGGACTTACGGGCCTCTGAGTTGTTAACAACATGGATGAGCTGGGAAATAGTGTTCGCTAGCTCCTCCTGCAAAGGCGGGGTTGGGGAGAAACACGGGGGTTATTACGTGGTACCAGCAGGGGGAAACAGCATCACGGCCTGCGCCTCTCCCCACGGGCCGGGGGGTGGGCGTGGGGGTCCTGCACCATCAGTTTTCAATGTCACTTCCTCTAAGAAGTGTGTACTTGAGTATCTGGATTTTATCAAGTGTGAAATTCTCAATTTCACTGGACTATCGTGTCAAGTTAAAATGCGTTTGAGACTTGCTCAAGCGACATGTTTACATAAGTATCTCTAGTTATGAGTTCAAACGACCTACAGAAGAAATACATTAGCTGTCAACACTTCCTGGCTTTCAGAATATATTCTAACAAATTGAGATTCCATCCGAATCCCCCAAATAATGGGAACACAGATGCCAGCGAGGGGGAGTCACCAGCAGGCAGACAGTGGGGACTGCCACAGCGTTAAGGCTCTGGGTGTGGACCAGGACGTCCTGTCCTCGGCTGGCTCAGAGACACACTGCAAAGGCAGGGCGGCAGGACGCAAAGGTTAAGGGCGCCCTACTCGCACGCAAAGAGCCCGGCCTGCTGAGATGCACCGGCTCGCCTGCAGGGAGAACTCCGAGCTGCGGGTCTGTGAAGAAACCTGCCTTGGGGAGGGTCAGCAGAAGAACTCTGCTGGTGACTCACGTAAGGACTTGGCCTTTGCCTAGACTCAGTCTTTCTCACCCGTCTTACATGAACTCCCAGACTTGAAAGTGTTCCTGTGCATCTGTTTTCTTCCTCCACTAAAGCTGTTGGTTGTTACTTTGAATGTAATTTAAAAATATTTTGCTCTGCTATCCTACTCAAAACATGTTCAGTGGAGTTAATCAAAGCAAGCTATTACATGGCTTAGGGGGAAGGGGTAAAGTTGCACATCAGAACCCAGATAAGTAAAACAGGCTTACCCCGTACTCCTGCAAAGGCAGGCTGGCTTCTACACACCAGAACAAAGCTCTGTAAAGAGTCTAAAACATTATCCTAACTAGTGTTGGTGGTGGGGCTCACGTACGCCTGTGCCAAGCTTCCACCGACCTGAAGGGTGAGGCCATCAGATCTGGGGCCACTGCTCACCCTGCAGAGTGTAGACCCCAGCAAGGTGGCTGCCCAGCTTCCCGGGCACCCGCAGAAGAGGGGGCCTGGAGCCCGGGGAGTGCACAGGATCTTAGACTAGAGATATGCTATTTTTGACCACAGATAATAAAAGATGAAACAGAAACATTAAAATAAGTCACGTAAAACGTACCATGGAAACTATGAAACTGTGACAGAGAAATAATACATGTGATTTACGAGCCTTTTTCACTCTTTGAAAAGACAATCACGCACAGCACTGGGCACGCTGTGCGCCTTTCCATTTGGATGAGGGTAAGAAAGTGAATCCTTGAAGCAACGACTTTCAATTTGTTTACGTGCATCAGGGAGGGATACAGCATAACACGGGCAAGTCTTGTTCATCCAGTTGTGCCCCCAATCCAGTAAAGTGACAAAGGGAGATGGTGTTACCTGAAGAAGGGGTTCGTCCTGCACCCACATGCAGTAGAAGAGCCCTTTCCATATTTTCAGAAGTTCTTCTTGGCTGAAACCCCCTAGAAAGCAAAACAGCACAAAGACCGCATTTTAGTCTCCACGTTTCCTAAGCTTAGAACTGCCACACAAGCAGCGAAAGGGACACCACATACATTTTCCTTCACAAATGTCTTTTTTTTTTTAATTCGAAGCATTCGTTTTGTTGTCGCCAAGTAAACACGTATAAGGTAAGCGGTTTATCAGCTGTGGGGCGGGGGTGGTGGTGGCGATGTCCTCATCAGCGTAATGCATGGAAGCAAATGCCACCACGACAAAAACGTTAACCGACAGAGCGGTCACTTATAAAACAAGTTCCCCTCCCTACTCAAAACTAGTGCCTCACCCTGCACACCAACATCTCTATTGGTCTTGCAAAGTAAAACTGCAAATCCACGAAAGACGAAGGACTTGCTCAGGTCCCACACAACTGGCCCCAGGGGAAGTGGAAAGCTTTGGGATCTTTTTTTTTTTTGCAAAGATGACCCTTTTAAGGATCCTGCTGTGAGGTCAAACTTGGCTGTACCCTGACCTCTCTCTCTGCCGGTCACGGTTTTCATCTACTGGGCAAAGCACAGTCTTGTTTTAAGTGGCATCACTTTGGTCAGTCTTACTCCCACTCACTATTCGAGCCCTTTACCACCTAACCACAAGCTGCACACAGACTCCTGCCTCCTGGGTCGACCCCAGGTGTCCTGCAACAATTGCGGAGTAACATAAGGAATCCCAAAATCAGGTAAGTGCACACTCTTGGAGTTTCCAAGCCTATGGAGAACAAACAGAATCCTCAAGGCCTGACGGAAGATACAAATGGTCTTCATGAAGGTTTCACCTAGAAGGTACTAGGAAGAGTCTTCTGGTCAGCCAAGGATAACTGAGGTGAGTGTAAACAAGCCAGTATTTGGAAACAATGTGATTTCAATAGTCCAAAAGATAATTAAATTAAAAAGTGACAAATGGACCCCTTTTGACAGAATGAAGTTTACTTAGTGCATTTGCCATAAGCTTTAGAGCTTTATACTGACTTCCAAGTTACTAAAGACCCTTCTGCCAACGGTGTCATTATGGTGCGTTTTGATTCTTTGTGATAGTCTCTCACTTAAAACCAACACACCATAAACTACAGTGTAATCAGTTTATTAAAGTGCATTTCCTTTAGGGGTTGGGCAAACAATACTCCCACTGGATTCCCTCCCCAGTTGTTACAAAGAAGCCACATTGGGATCTTCCCGCAGACACACAACTATGCTGTGAGTCATCGGTTCCACCAGAGCCGAGCCAACTGCCGTTGCAAGGGTGGTAACTTGGTCATGGTGACCTGGGTTCATATTCAGCCCTGTTAAGACTAATGAATTCATGGATCTGGGCAAGGATGGTCAATGTCTGCTAAAACATCAGATGAAAAAACATGGAGGAACTTTGAAATGGATACATCAGGCTCACAACACCAAACCCACTGATCCATGTTAACTCGCACAGGAAACAACTACGCATTACATGCCACAAGTGATGGGACAGGAGGAACACGACACCACCTGCTGATTATTCCTACAGAAACAGACAAGCTAAGTGACACTGCTGCAAATTCAACTTCTAACATCAGTCTGCAGGGAGCACACGGGACAGAAGAACATGTCAAATGAGGCCGTGGACGCCGTAAGCAAAACCCCCAACGTGGGAAACTACAGGACAGACACCTTGCAGATAAAAAGAAGCTGGGTGAGAACTGTCAGAATTTAAGAGTCTTAGCAGTCATACCAACCAAATGTAATGGGTAGGTCTCACCTGATTCTGATTTCATGAATAATTTATGAGATGATGGGGAAATCTCAATAGATTGGAAAAAAATTTAAAAGATGTGACAACAGTCCTGTGGTTATAGCCTGTATCTTTTCGGGGTACATCCTGAGGCCTCGGGAGATGACATGAGATGCCACGGATTTGCTTCCCAAAAATCTGGGAGAAGCAGAAAGGGGCCAACTGATGTGTGAGTGCACTCTTTGTATATTTGAAATATTCCTTAACACAAAAGAAAAAAGGACTGCATGAGACTACGAAAATTTTATCATGGGTTGCTTTCTTCTTTTTATTGTTCAGAAAATTTTTTATAATGAAACTGGAAAAGCACGAACACTGATGAACTTGGAAGCAAACATGGATTTAAAAGACACTAGTTCCTGCAGGAGACCCGGTCCTGGGCATTCCGTGTTTGCCAAGCAGCTACACTGCTGTCCCCTCCACGGCTGCCACCTTCAAGGCCAGGCCTGGGAGGGAGGCAGTGGGCTGGGAGGGCTCACTTACATGGAGGGAAGCAGCCAGCTGCGCTCACACCAGAGCAGCATGGGTCACCCCACTGCAGGTCAGATCCTCCCCCTCAGGCCTTAGGAAGGACCCAAGATCTCTCCAAGGAGACTTTGAGAGAAGACACAGCCTGCATCTGTGCTCAGTCACCCTGTTAAGTGCTGGGCAGCCTGACTGCAAACGGAACCAATCTGGGGGAGCAGAGTGTGCTATGGAGAAAAGCTAGGGTCCGGTGCCATTGGTGGAGCTCCTGCATTTGTTTTTTTTTCCCTGAAAACTAGTGTGGCTTGAATGTTCTGTCAAGTTCCAACTGCAAAAGAGTCCCAACCAATAAGAATAGATTTTTATGGCTTAAAGACTGAAACGTAAGACAAGACACTATAAACCTCTAAGAAGAAAACATAGGCAAAACATTCTCTGACATAAATCTTCGCAATGTTCTCCTAGGGTAGTCTACCCAGGTAACAGAAATGAAGCAAAAATTAACAAATGGGACTTAGTTAAACTTACAAGCTTTTGCACAGCAAAGGAAACCAGAAGCAAAACAAAGACAACCTACAGAATGGGAGAAAATATTTGCAAAAGATGAGACTAACAAGGGCTTAATTTCCAGAACATATGAACAGCTCATACAATTTAATAAGAAAAAAACAATCCAATCCCAATCCAAAAATGGGCAGAAGACCTAAACAAGCAATTCTCCAGTGAAGACATATGAATGACCAATAGGCATGTGAAAAAACGCTCAATGTCGCTAATTATCAGAGAAGTGCAAATCAAAACTACAGAGAGGCATCACATCTGTCACAATGGCCGCCATTAAAGAGTCCACAGACAAGAAACGCTGGAGAGGGTGTGGAGGACAGGGAGCCCTTCCACACTGCTGGTGGGGATGTAGTTTGGTGCAGCCACTGTGGAAAAT